CCCGATCTGTCGAAGAATGTCGACAAATATCTGATTGGCCAAAATGGCAAGAGTCAATTCAATCAGAATTGAAGTCACTCACTAAAAGAGAGGTCTTTGGACCAGTAGTCCAAACACCTGCTTGTATAAAGCCAGTTGATCATAAATGAGTTTTTATGCGAAAAAGAAATGATTAAAATGAAGTTGAAAGATACAAGGCTCGCCTTGTTGCACAAGGATTCTCACAACGACCTGGAGTCGATTATGAAGAAACATATTCACCAGTTATGGATGCCATAACATTTTGATATCTTATCAGTTTAGCCTTACGTGAAAGGCTTGAAATACATCTAAAGGATGTGATTACAGCTTATCTGTACGGGTCACTTGATAATGAAATTTACATGAAAATCCCTGAAGGATTTAAAATGCCTGAAGCATATTCAAAATCTCGGGAAATGTACTCAATCAGATTACAAAGATCTTTGTACGGTTTAAAGCAATCTGGGCGCATGTGGTATAATCGCCTCAGTGAATATTTGCTGAACGAGGGTTACATAAATGATGTTATTTGTCCATGTATTTTTATAAAGAAAATGGCTTCAGAATTTGTTATACTTGCTGTTTATGTTGATGACATAAATCTTGTTGGAACTTTAGAAGAGCTCCAAAAGGCAATTGAATATCTTAAGAAAGAATTTGAGATGAAAGATCTTGGAAAGACAAAACTTTGTCTTGGTCTGCAAATTGAACATTTAGCAGACGAGATCTTTATCCATCAATCTGCCTATACATAAAGGGTCTTAAAATACTTTTACATGGACAAAGCGCACCCATTGAGTACACCAATGGTTGTTTGATCACTTGATGTGAATAAAGATTTGTTCCGACCTCCAGAAGAGGATGGAGAACTCCTTGGTCCCAAAGTACCTTATCTTAGTGCAATTGGTGCACTAATGTATCTTGCTAATGCTACAAGGCCTGACATAGCATTTTCTGTTAATTTACTAGCAAGATATAGTTCTTCTCCTACACGAAGATATTGGAACGGGATTAAGCATATATTGCGATATTTAAAGGGAACTCTTAATATGGGTTTGTTTTATGCTAACAAAGATAGTGCAGATCTTGTTGGTTATGCAGATGCAGGTTATTTATCTGATCCCCATAAAGCTAAATCTCAAATCGGGTACGTTTTTACATATGGAGGTAAGCGCTCCACAAAGCAATCTATTATTGCTACTTCTTCAAATCATACTGAAATAATAGCTATTCATGAAGCAAATAGGGAATGCGTATGGTTGAGATCAATAATTCATTTTATTCGAGAAAAATATAGTTTGGAATGTGAGAAAAGACCCACAATTTTATACGAAAACAATGCTGCATGCATAGCCCAATTGAATAGAGGATTTATAAAAGAAGATAGAACGAAGCACATTTCACCAAAATTATTCTTCACACATGATCTTCAAAAAAATGGTGACATTGATGTGCAACAAATCCGTTCAAGTGACAATCCGGCAGATTTATTCATTAAATCTTTACCAACTTCAACTTTTGAGAAGATGGTATACAAGATTGGAATGCGGAGACTTAAATATTTGAAACAAGGTTTTCATCAGGGGGAGTAAAATACACGATGTACTCTTTTTTCCTTACTAAGGCTTTTTCCCACAGGATTTTCCTTATAAGGTTTTTAATGAGGCAGCTAGCAATGCGTATTACTAAATATGTGCTCTTTTTCCTTCACTAGGATTTTTCCCATGAGGTTTTTTCCTAGTAAGGTTTTAATGAGGCGCATTATCTTTTAATGAATATCCAAGGGGGAGTGTTATAAATATATTATATTATGGATATTCATTTAGTACTCCGTTATAAATAAACTTCCTGAAGAAGCTTATCCATATGAGACTCCGCCGTAAATATGTTTATCTATTTAGTACTCTATTGGAAATAAGCCTCCCGAAGAAGTTTATCCTTTCGGTACTCCGTTATGGATAAATATTACCCACGGTAGAAGATTATCTATATCTGGCACAACAGCTTAGAGTAACAGCTTACACAGCAGCTTGCAGTAGCAGCTTACACAGCAGCTTACACAGCAGCTTGTAGTAGCAGCTTCATTTCTTCAATAAATAGAGGAGAATTCAGTTTATTATGTACATAAGTTTAAAATTTGAATAATATATCAGTTTTTCTCTATACTTGTCTTTACTTTACTGTCTTTATTTTATAACACAGATCACATATTCGACATTTAATAGGCAAATGCAAGTCTGTCAAATGCCATTTTATAATCTCCATCCAAAATAAATAAAAAGATATAGAGAAAAGCTAAGTGGCTTTGATGCTATTTCTCTTCCTACGCCATTATTGCGCCTCATAAAACAAGGTGAAATATTGTATTTCCTATGTCAGTATTGAGTTGCCCTTGACCTGCTCGGTAAAATGCCTGAAAGAGATTGAAAGTATGTTGTCCGTAAATTTCAAGTCCTGTAGTTCAGTGAACAAAATTTAGCATCTTTTAGCTCGTCTATTAATAGGCTAATTAGGACAAAAAAGTGAAAAACAAGATGATTTTGATTTTTGATTTTGATTTCCTTAACTCCTTTTGATTGTGATAGGTGATGGAAAATAGCCATTGTGTCAATTTGACTTAATTGTATACGGTATTCTTCATTATAAGTTTTTTTTTTAACGACTAACTAAGGATTTATCTTCTTTTTTTTCCTTCAATTGTAGGGTCCGAGATCATGCAGCTTGGACAAGAAATTTTGTATGCTTTTCCAGTTCAATGAAAAGTACCCCCTGTTGTCTAAAAGGTGCGCAAATTCTGTTAATTATTTATTTTTGTCAAGACGAGGAGCTTTGGAGCAATGTTAAAGTTGTCTCTGACGAACCGTAAAAGCAGTCACCAATGCTTGCATTAGGGTAAACTGTCTATATCATACCTTCTGGGGTGCGACCTTTTCCAAACCCTGCATGAATGCGGGATGCTTTGTGCACGAGACCGTTGTTTTTTTTTTTTTTTTTTCTTCCATCAGAAGCTTAAAAGATATAAATAGCGCAAGACATCCAGATTAATGAAGTTTAAAGGTATACATTATCCATTTGGGTAATATTTTTGTCAAGAGATTTTGGTGAGAATGAATAATTGGTTTTCAGCTTTGAGGAGTCTTTGTTGACTTGTAAGGAAACTAATAATAATACTAAATACTAAAAAAGAAGAAGATAAATGGGAATAGGGTGATTTGAAGAAGATAAAAAGGAGGTGGAATTATTTGGTAGTGATGGTGGGTCCAGTACTTGCTGGTTACAACAATTGAAGTAACTAAGCTATATCTGGAGTAAAACGAAATCTGTTAACTCATGATTTCTAAAAATAGTTATCTCAGATTAGTAATATAGTTAGTCACAAATCTGCCGACAACAAAATATAACATAAGATTAGTCACATATTCGACATTTAATTACATTTTTATAATGGTGGAAAATGGCAAAGGTGTTCTGGTTTTTGAGAGTGGTTGTTTAAATAATGAAACAGGAAAAGTTGTTTTGGCCTCACAGAAAGGTGCATTTGGAAAATAAAAAGGTGCTTTGAGTAGGTGTGGTTTAATTGTCATAATCCTTATTCTAAGCATCGGAGTTGCTCTCTTCTTCTTCTCCCCCTTTGCAGTTCAACTTCATCACACTGTCTGTGAAAAAATGTCTTCTAACGATATCTGTCTTCAAAGAATCGTCTTTTTGAACGTTTGCAACAACTTGACAATAGTTTATTCTACCCTGAAACTTTTATATATGGAGTCTAATTCTTTATACATGAATTCAAATTCCTGGATATTTTTCTCAGCTTGCAGATCTTCACTAAAGAACCAAACATGCTAGATGTCACTCACAAAGTCCAAGCTCTGTATCAAGATGCTCTACTTGACTTTTCTGAATTACATCTAGCTGAGTACTTTGATTTTTGTACCTTTAAGTTACAAAACGAGATTTGGTTGATTAAGAGGGAAATTAGAGCCAAATACGCCTTTCCTAAAATATCATACTTACCACTTTCAGCCAACAAGGATGGTATTGCTATTCGCAAATTTATGACAGAATTCATGGATACTGTGGTGGAGAATCTTCGTGATTTAGTGAAGATTTATGTTCGCTGTTCGTTTATTATTGTCCCCGAAACAATAATGAAACATATAGAAGATGTTTTAAAAGAATTGAAAATGCTGCAAAATTTCTTCTGCTTTGTCTCAAAGAGCTTAAGAGAGCCTGAGAGCCAACATATTGTTAATTTCTTTACTCACGCTTTAGCAGTGGCCGGCCACACATCAATGCTTTTCTGGTTGTATTTACCAGACTTGACTTCAGAGGAAATAAATGTATTGCTTTCTGATCTCTTGCGAATGAGGATTAAGCCCACTCAACCATGCATCCGCAAGATCTATGTTGATGTCTTGCAATCTTTAAAGTCGACAATACAATCTGCAGGATGGTATCACAAAATCCAAAATCAAGAGCAAGCAATTGATACCGAAGCCAGCTTTTTGGAGACTATCCTACACAATTTGGCAGACCTACCAACTAATAATAACTCCAGTCAGAGAGTTGCTTTGAAGGATCACTTGGCTATCCTTCAAGAGATGCTCAACCTATTGAGAGCCAATATCATCCATGTGCCGATACAAGATCTTGAATTTCTTCCAGTTATTGACACTGCAATTATTGATGTCGGGCTTCTGGTTTACTCGTTGTACAGAGGCGAGGAGGAGGAGAAGGAAGACGTTGCACCGGGAGAAGTGAACCCAGAACAAGTTCTTGATTTGTCAGGAAATATTCAAAGCATAGGCAAAAGGATCTATCCCACCTTTCGGAAGGCGTTTCAATCTAACTTGCCAAGGATTCTTGGACTAGGCTATGTTGATTTCCTTTTAAACAACCTGAAGGAATTCAAACGCCGTTATGCAGATTCACCCGCTTATATCAAGAACCAAGTTCAAATAATTCAGAAGGAATTTGAAAGCTTGCAACCATTTCTAGTGGATGTTGCAGAAGAGCGACACGATGGCCTCGACAAATGTCAGCGTTGTGCTACACAATTAATTGGCAAAGCATATGAGGTAGAATACATAGTTGATGCTTTTATAAGTAAAGAAGGTCCTCTCTGGTGCCTTGAGCGTTGGCTTTTGGATATCATAGAGGAGATTGCTCATATCAGAAATGAGGTGACAGAGATTCAAGGGAAAAAAATAGTTGAGGAAGCAATGAACAATACTGGCAAAACTCAAACGCCATCAAGTTTGGCAAGGTCTACAATCATGAATGATGAAGTTGTGGGTTTTAAGGATGTCATAGAAAAATTAAGAGACCAACTAATAGGAGGAACCAAAGGGCGAGATGTTATCTCAATAACCGGCATGCCAGGTCTAGGCAAGACGACTCTAGCCCGCAGACTCTACTCTGACAAGTTAGTTGTTTCTCACTTTGACATTCGTGCACAGTGTTGTGTGTCTCAAGTATATTCACGTAAGAACTTGTTACTGGAGATTCTACATGATGCTACCAGTAAAGACTTTGAATGTGGAGGAAAACATGTTGATCAATTAGCTGATGAGCTACGCAAAGCTTTATACTCCAAAAGATATCTCATCCTTGTTGATGATGTGTGGGAAGCTAGTGTGTGGGATGATATAATACGATGTTTTCGAGATGCCAATAATGGAAGTAGAATTATTCTAACAACTCGAAATCATGAAGTTGCAAATTACGCTAAATTTCAAAGTGACCCCCTTCCACTTCGTATGTTTAATGATGATGAAAGTTGGATGTTACTCAGGAAAATTGTGTTTGGAGGAGAAAGATTCCCTCCTCTCCTAATGAACATTGGGCAACAAATAGCAGAAAAGTGTGGTCAGCTACCTCTTTCAATTGTCTTGGTGGCTGGTATTCTAGCAGAGATGGAGAGGAAAGAAGAATGTTGGGAACAAGTGGCCAAAAATTTAAGTCCCTACATTCACAGTAACTCAAAGGCCACTGTAGAACATAGTTATCAAAATTTACCCTATCATTTGAGGTCTTGCTTTCTTTACTTCGGAGCATTTTTAGAGGATAGTGTGATAAATGTTTCTAAGTTAACAAAGTTATGGATCTCAGAAGGATTTATAAAAGGTTGCGAAGGTAAGAGTATGGAGGATATAGCCGAAGGTTATTTAGAGAATCTTATTAGAAGAAATCTAGTGATGGGAACTAAGAAGAGTTCTGGAGGTAAGATCAAAGCATGTCACATTCATGACCTATTGCATGATTTCTGTAAGGAGAAAGCAAAAGAAGAGAATCTTCTCCTGTGCATAAAACGGTAATGTACTAATTAGTAGTAATCTTTCGGTTCTATTTATTAAGTAGTAAGTTATATTGACAATTAATCCTGTAATTTTACTAATTTCTATATTCGAAGGGATCAACATGTCAATCCTTCTGGCCGTGTTTGCTATCACAAGCAACTTGCTCATCGCACGTTCGTTTATGGTGACCGGTATCTTAATGGAGATTGGAGCTCGTGTTTGCCACATGTTGGCTCTATAATTTTGCATAATGATGGTGCTGCATTTGGCACTGTCTCCCACAATTTTCACAGCTTCAGGCTTTTAAAAGTGTTGGATTTGGAGTCCATAAGAATTGATTCTTTCCCAATTGATCTAGTTTACTTGAGGTATTTTGCTGCACGAACTCAAGTGTCGTCGCTTTCATCATTCATGGCCAACCATTGGAACCTTGAAACTCTGATTTTGAGGCATAGTCATTATCAAGATGCACAAATGTCACTACCCGTTTCACTATGGGAGATGGTTAAATTGAGATATCTGCATATTTCCAAGTGCAACTTCATTATAGAAACTGCAGAAGAATTACTTGAGAAGTCCAAAAAACTTTATGATTTGAAAACTCTTTCCACTCCATACTTTTCTTGTATTCAGGATGCAGAATTTATTTTGGGAAGAACACCTAATCTTCGGGAACTCAGATGTGAAGTCGACGGTGTTGACAACTTTCAGTACTATGTATTGAAGTTTCCAACATGGATTGGAATTCTGAAGATTCTTCGCAGAAACACATCTTTAGCTAAAACCATCCCCTTTTCCATCTCCGCTCCAGATCTCAGAAGCTTGACAGTACGCGATTTTTACCTGCATCCTCAATACTTATCAGAAATTGCTTCATTTCAGAATCTTCAAGTACTGAAACTGCAAAGCATTCACTTTGACAATGAGGAATGGGAAGTGAGCGATGGCGAGTTCCCTCAACTCAAAGTCTTGAAACTACAAAGGATAAAGTTCTTTAAAGAATGGATTGTCGCTGACGATGCCTTTCCCAACCTTGAACACTTGGCTTTGCATGATTGCAAATTTCTTAAGGAGATCCCTTCTTGTTTCGGATACCTCTGTTCTCTAAGTCAGCAAGGGATATCTGGGAAACACAAGTTGAAGATTATCAGAATTCTAGCTTCGTTGTCTCTATCCAGGAGTCTTGGTATTTTAACAATTCTGATTCAGGTACTCTGTTTAATCAATTCTCCAATTTCTCTAAACGTGCTCTCCTGATAACTATTCTTTGTTCAAGACAAAGCGCATATGATCAAAGAATAAGCCATGCCTTTTTATGAACTAAACTGTCAAAGGCAAAATCAACTTTTGTAATTTAGAGAAAATCATAACTTTATCTAAGCAATTTAATTTCTTCATGTAGGCTTTTTACTTTAATTAATTTTAACAATTAAGTAGGGGGCTATTGATTTAACTGATTTCTTTTCTCTTCCATAGATGATAATAATAATAATGATGATAGTGGCGGCGGCTGTGGTGGTGGTGGTGATGATGGAGATGCATTTAATAATGATGATGAGAGTGGTGGCGGCGGTGATGATGATGATAATGATGAGGAGAAGGAGGAGGATGAGTATTTAGCCAAGGCAATTAGGAAGATCATGAGCTTTTATAGTTAGTGTTTTTTTTTAAACCTTGATTAAAGTTTCTGAGGCAAAAAACAGTTAAATATTTTTTCTTTCCTTTAATTTGGTATATGGATAAGTTGTTATTTCTGTTTAATGTTTACTACAATGTCTATTAAAGTACTAATTTTATAAATAATTTTTCTCCCTAATTATATCTCTCTCTAGATTGTAAGTTTTTATGGCAGTCCTTCCAAGTTGAACTATAGTTTTAACTTTTATGAACTGTCTTTAATATGTCTTTTACTTTTGTGAACTTGATGGTTGATTGTAAATGTATTGTTTCACTACCCGAAATTATCACCTTCGAACCGTGATGACGCCTAACATTTCACTTGCTAGGCAAGCCAACGTTAGAATAATATTAATCAATTTTTAAACAATCTTTAAATTATTAATAATCAAAGAAACAAATACGGAAGCACAATTTGAAATATAGTGAAATAACCCATAAAAACAACGGTGTCTAGATACCATCCCAGAATTAGTGTCACAAGTGCACAAGCTTCTAGAATAAATACAAATAAAGGTCTGAATAAAATAAAGCTGTCTGGAAATAAACACACAGCTAAAGTAAAATAGACGGGGACTTCAGAACTGTGGACGCCATGCAGTTATACCTCAAGTCTCCTCTAGTAGCTGAAATCCGAGCAAGTCTATGGCACGCCGCTGGGACCAACTCCGAAATCTGCACAAGAAGTGCAGAGTGTAGTATCAGTACAACCGACCCCATGTACTAGTAAGTGTTGAGCCTAACCTCGACGAAGTAGTGAGGAGGCTAAGGCGGGTCACTTACATTACCTGTACGCAATATTAATAACAACAACAAATAATAGAAATAAATCAGGTAACTCATTTATAATAATTGAAGCCAACTCAGCAGTCATAATCCATTATTATCTCACCCAATTCTGTTGCAGCGTGCAACCCGCTCTCACAATATATTCACATTCAATTCTGTTGAAGCGTGCAACCCGCTCTCCCAATATATTCCCTTTAATCAAGTCTGTCATATATTTATTTCAATCAAGTATATATATATATAGACTTTTAAATAAGTCTGTTGCGGCGTGCAATCCGATCCCCCAATATTGACTTTTAAATAAGTCTATTGCGGCGTGCAATCCGATCCCCCAATATTGACTTTTAAATAAGCATATTGCGATGTGCAATCCGATCCCCTAATATTGGCTTTTAATAAGTCTATTGCGGCGTGCAATCCGATCCCCCAATATTGACCTTTAATAAGTCTATTGCGGCGTGCAATCCAATCCTCCAATATATCCCTTTCAATCAATTCTTATAGAAGAAATTTTCCCAATAAATGCAACAATTAATATAAAATTATAAGACAACAAGCATACAACAATTATGATTTAATTATGAAACAACAATGACAAATAGAAAATTATTATAGAAATCAAGGAGAAAATAGGCAGTTTAATATTTAATATACTAAATGTCAAATAACAATTAAAACACATAATTCAAATAGCATGTAACAATTAATGCAGGAATTCAAGAATTAATATTTGTCAAAGAATAGGAGAGAAACAATTATTATAATAATTAATTTATGATTTAAAACAATTTATATTTTTTTAAGTAAGCAGGCAAACAATTAATTTGACGACGTATAGACACTCGTCACCTCGCCTGTACGTCGTTCACATGCAATTCACATAACAAATAATTTAAGGGTTATATTTTCTCAAGTCAAGGTTAACCACGACACTTACCTCGCTTTGCAAATTCCAATCAATTATTCAACCACAACTTTTCCTTTTAAATTTACCTCCGAAAGCTTCAAATCCCAATGTTTCCCGTGAAAATCGCCTAAAAATTCGCCTTAACCGAGCTCAAAAAGACCAAAATGAGTAAAAATATCGGACTCTTCGATATATACACTGCCCAAGAATTTCCGCACCTGCGGTGCCTGGGCTCGCACATGCGAGCTCGCATCTGCGAGAAAAATCTCGCATCTGTGAAATGGGGCTGCCAGGCGAGGCCTCGCACCTGCGGAGGAAAAATACGCACCTGCGCTGCCTTCGCTTCTGCGATCATTTGGTCCGTTTATGCAGACGCGCGGGTGCATGCAGGTTTCCGCACCTGCGAACTTTTGTCCAGCCACGCCCGGGTGCATCTGCGATCGAAGGCTCACTTCTGCGAGCTCGCACCTGCGAGAAAAATTCGCAGGTGCGATTAGAGCAGAAGGAAAAATATAGATTTTGCTTAAGTCTAGTTCTTGATCCGATTTCAATCCGTATCACTCTCGGGGTACTCGGGACCCCGTACGAATATAACAACAAGTCCAATAACATAATACGGACTTACTCGGGGTCTCGTATCACTCCAAATAAAGCTGAAATTACAATTCACATCCCGATTCAAACTTTGAGTTTTAAACTTTCAATTTGCAAATCTCGTGTCAAAACATATTAAATGGATCCGGAATGACTTTAAATTTGGCACATAAGTCATAAATGACATAACGGATTTGTTCAAATTTTCAGAATCAGATTCCGGCTCCGATATCAAAAAGTCAACCCCCGTGGTCAAACTTGAAAATTTTTAGCCTTTAAATTGCTAGTTCCGTTAAATGGTCATAACTTGAGCTAGGGACCTCCAAATTAAATTTCGGGCATACGCCCAAGTCCCAAATCACGATACAGAGCTATCAGAACTGTCAAAACACTGATCCGTGTTCATTTGTTAAAAATATTGACTAAAGTCAACTCAGTTGAGTTTTAAAGCTTTATTTCACATTTTAATTCATTTTTCACATGAAATATTTTCGAAAAATTTTACGGATTACGCACGCAAGTCGAGGAATGATAAATGGTATTTTTCGAGGTCTTAGAATACAGAATTACTTATTAAATTTAAAGATGACATTTTGGGTCATCACATTCTCCACCTCTAAAACAAACGTTCGTCCTCGAACGGAGTTAAAAAAAGTACCTGAGCTTGAGAAAAGGTGTGGATATTTACTCCGCATGTCCGACTCGGACTCCCAGGTAGATGCCTCTACCGGTTAACCTCTCCATTACACCTGAACTGAAGGATAACTCTTAGATCTCAACTGTCGGACTTGCCGGGCTAGAATAGCCATCGGCTACTCCTCGTAAGTCAAATCTTTGTCCAATTGGACTCAGCTGAAATCTAACACATGGGACGGATCACCATGATATTTCCGGAGCATAGACAGATGGAACTCCGAATGAACCACTGATAAACTAGGTGGTAATGCAAGCCTGTAGGCTACTTCACCCACCCTTTCAAGAATTTTAAAGGGTTTGATATACCTTGGGCTCAACTTGCCCTTCTTTCCGAACCTCATTACACCTTTATTAGGTAAAACCCGAAGCAATATTCTTTCTCCAACCATGAATGCAATATCACGAACTTTACGGTCGGCATAACTCTTTCGCCTAGACTGAGCTATGCGAAGTCGATCCTGAATAATCTTGACCTTATCCAAGGCATCCTGTACTAAATCGGTACCCAACAACCGAGCCTCTCCCGGTTCAAACCAACCAACTGGCGATCGGAACCGCTTTCCGTATAATGTCTCATATGGAGCCATCTGAATGCTCAACTGGTAGCTATTATTATAAGCAAACTATGCAGGTAGCAAGAAATGATCCCAAGAACCTCCAAAGTCTATAACACAAGCGCGGAGCATATCTTCCAATATCTAAATAGTGCGCTCTGACTGTCCGTTTGTCTGTGGATGAAATGCTGTACTCAACTCCACTCGCGTGCCTAACTCACGTTGTACAGCCCTCTAGAAATGTGAGGTAAACTGCATACCTCGATCTGAAATAATAGACACGGGCACAACGTGAAGGCGGACAATCTCACGAATGTAAATTTCAGCTAACCTCTCTGAAGAATAGGTAACTGCCACTGGAATGAAATGCCCTGACTTGGTCAACCCGTCCACAATGACCCAAACTACGTCAAACTTTCTCTGAGTCCGTGGGAGCCCAACAAAATATTCCATAGTGATACGCTCCCACTTCCACTCAGGAATTTCTAACTTCTGAAATAAACCACCAGGTCTCTGATGCTCGTACTTAACTTGCTGACAATTCAGACACCGAGCTACATATGCAACTATATCCTTTTTCATTCTCCTCCACCAATAATGTTGCCGCAAATCTTGATACATTTTGGCGATACCTGGATGAATAGAATACCTGGAACTATGTGCTTCTTCAAGAATTAATTCACGAAGCCCATCCACATTACGCACACAAATACGACCCTGCATTCGCAGAACTCCATCTTCCCCCACAGCAACCTGTTTGGCATCACCGTGCCGCACCGTGTCCTTAAGGACAAGTAAGTGAGGATCATTATACTGCCTCTCTCTAATGCGCTCATATAAAGAAGACCGAGTGACTATGCAAGCTAGAACCCGATTGGGTTCTGAAACATCTAACCTCACAAACTGATTAGCCAAAGTCTGAACATCTGCAACTAATGGCCTCTCACCAACCGGAATATACGCAAGACTTCCCATACTCATAGCCTTTCTACTCAAAGCATCGGCTACCACATTGGCCTTTCCGGGGTGATACAAAATGGTGATATCATAGTCTTTCAACAACTCCAACCATCTTCTCTGCCTCAAATTAAGATCTTTTTGTTTGAACAGATACTAAAAGCTGCGATGATCAGTAAATAACTCACATGAGATACCGTAGAGGTAATGCCTCCAAATCTTCAGTGCATGAACAATGGCTGCTAATTCTAAGTCATGAACAAGATAATTCTTCTCGTGAACTTTCAACTGCCGCGACGCATATGCAATTATCTTGCCATGTTGCATTAATACTGCACCAAGCCCAATGTGAGATTCGTCACAATATACCATATACGATCCTGAACCTGTGGGTAATACCAACACTGGCGCCGTAGTCAAAGCGGTCTTGAGCTTTTGAAAGCTCAACTCACACTCGTCTGACCATCTGAATGGGACACCCTTCTGGGTTAGTCTGGTCAGTGTGCTTGCTATAGATGAAAACCCTTCCACGAACCGATGATAATAACCTGCTAAACCTAGGAAACTTCGGATCTCTATAACTGAAGTAGG